TCCTCGACAAGGTCAAGTAGGTACATAAGTACGCCGCGTATTCATGTACCTACTTGACCACGGATACAGTCTGTACACCGTTATTGATGCTCGACCAGTCTGTGCGGCAGAGAGCGTCACCTTTTTGTACATGCGTACAGACTTTCTCCTTGTGCTTCCGTTACGCAACGCAAGTTGCGTACAAGTGTGAGCATAGGATACATTCCGTACTATTGATCTTGAGCATCGAGCGATACTAGCTCCTAACTCAGGAGTCCTAACTTAGGGACTTAGGAGTCCTCAGTCCGTAGCCATCTTGGCTCAAGGTCTCAGTGTACGTTTGGGTCGCATCTCTCCAGCTAATGTCGGGTCGTGTTGACACAAGGGAACGACAGGAGGCACCGGACATCAACACCATCTTGTACAACCTATGTCGTACAGACATAGGATAGAGTCACATTTATCACCAACAATTGAGTGGTACGAATGTGGAATTTCTCCCAACGCAATCCATCATATCAGCCACGAGCAGTGCTCGTCGAGCACAATTCTGCCCTCGTCCCCCCCATCGTAGGCGTTCCTCGGTGCTTTTTCTGTCTACTAACCAGTAATACTAATAACCAGTACACTGTTCTACTCAAGTACTAGAGCAGAACGGGATAGATAGGAAAATTTAAATATATACAGATCAGTTAATAGCAATACATTAGCTAAGGGACAAGGCTATGTGACTATTACTAATGATTGTGTTTTGGCACAGGGCATCAGACTGATGCCATCAGCACAATAGAAGCAGTCTGCGAGGACGAGAAAGGACAGTGTACTCCAGCCTCTCGTACTGGAATCTGCTAAGCTGTTGTCCTTCAGGTGTTCCCGCTGGAGCGCTCAATGAAGTTGTTGTCGATGCACCACAGGATGGCCTGAGGCCACTGGCCTCGCCAGAGTTTTCAAGTTGGTGAGGGATACTCTTTGTCGAATTACCTAGCTGTGGAACTCATTCTCGATTCTGATGCTGATTTGTTGATTGTTCTCAAACTTGATTCTCGGATTCGGGATCAATTCTGCTAGTCCACAATGTGGACTCCACATGACTCACATTGAATCGTGAGTGATATGGTACCGCACCATTGGCGTGATCCCATATACATGCTCGAGAAAGAGCTCGCATAATGGACGTGCGGTGTTTCTCGATTTCCAATGAAAATCGTCCACATCCTCAGACAGTTCAATGATCATTTTCTGGCTCGGGAGGACGTTTTTCTCGGGAGGCTCTCAATGAGAGCGAATCAGAAAATATTCTAATGCAATCTTCCCCTCCTCAGCCTATCTGCCGGAGAGACTGACCGGGCCAGTTGTGGATGGGTTTACGTCCATCGCTCACTCAATGAGTGATTCACTCAGAGTGAATTTCGAGAATAGGCAACTTATCTTGAAATGAGCGTCCTCGCAGCCAACAATGAGGTAGGATATATCGGAATTAGTTTGATGAAACCCACTGGACAACGCAATCTCTCCAGTGTATCCCTACTCGAGCGCGTAATCGACGGTCGCTGGCATCCCCGTGGGCCGGCCGATAAGCAGCACCATTAAGCCTTCCACACACTGGGAGTCGTAAATGCCATATCAGGACATGACGAATTTTTGGACCACCTATTCCGAGAAATTGTGTCTCTAAACGTCCATACTGTGGACTCCTCAGTGTAACCTGCAGCAACAATCCCTACTGCCTAGCCCCCACGTCAAAGCTTTGCAACTGCACCTCAACTTGTATCTGGTAGATACCACCTATTGGTGCGTTCAAGGCCGAAAGCTTCTTCCCACTATGTGCTCCCATTTCACAAAACGCGCAGACTGCGCGGCGCAATGTCGCCGCGACACTCCCTAATGACCAGGTATCTGCTGGATTAGCAGATGCTGAGGCCCTTAGCCTGAGGGTCGCTTCTTTCGTTCTCTTGAAGCTCTAAGGGCCGTTATAGAAGGAAGCTCAGCATCGTTGACCAGTACGTTGGGACCCCAACGTAATGATCATACATTTATCGGTCACATTGACCGGTCGAAGGTGGATTCAGCGCCTAATGTTGGTCTTGGCTGTGGTAAATGGGTTGCGCAGCGCAACTTGCGCTATCAACACTCGTTTAAATCAATAGTTTGATACACAATCTCTCGATTCCAGGGATGAATTTCGGGGAGGGAAAAATAAGTTTGTCCCGTTGCATGGCTGAGCTACGGCCCGTGGCCCACGGAGAATGAACCACGGTGGCTCACTCTCGTCCTCGCCGCCGAGACCCCGCGAATGCTGTTTTGACGGAACTCGTAGGGTACGAGTTATAACACAACGATTGTTTATTCAAATCGCCTGACCAGTAAGGTATAGTCAGGTATTTGATCACTGGATCATCAAGAATCCTCAGATAACAACTTCAAAGAAAAAGAATCTCAGCAGATCCTCGCTCTGAGAGCAAGGATGGGTCAGCCTGAGCGGTATGGACGAAGGCACAAAGCACTCTGTAGGCTTCTGGTTGTAGCGAGGCTACACACACTGCTCGCCAGGGTAGAGGTCGTCCTCCAAGAGGGGATAGTAAGTTTGCTTCAGGATGCCACATTCACCTGTGCATGAGAGATGGGAGGATAAGACCGAGAGCGTTCACACCTTCGCCACCTTTTCCACGGAGCAGTCTACCATACCCCTGCATTCCCCAATCCGTGCCCCAGGAGTTCTTGAACTCCCAATATCTATGAGCAGATTGGTAATCCTCAGTGAAGGCCACACTCACTTGGTGCCGTCTTTATCCTCCCCATAACCAGTGATCAACACACTGTGCGATGACTTGTATTTGTCACAGGCGTCGGCTGGAAGGGAAGAGAGCAGTGAACATTTTCTAGAGGAAGCCGGGGGTCCAAAGCGCTCGCAAGTCTCCAGAAACTGTTTGCTGATCCACCCGGCTTATTCTCACGAACGCTCTGCCCCCCATAAGGATGACATCACTGTGCAGTCGAGGCCTCACATTTGTAGATCCCTCCTTTATATTGCTTAAAGTCCGCGGGGAAAGCGTTGAGAATTGCGGACACTGGCTGCTGAGCTACACCCTGCAGCAGCTCCTCGAGATCTCCTTCCTTGATCGGCCACCAAGCAATCAAATCCCCAGGCTGATTATAGAAAGCTCGAATGATGATGATGATACATCAACTC